GCCCGGCGTGGGGAGTCGGGACGGCAGCCACCGCAGCGATGCTCGGGGTTGAAAATGTGTGTGAGTGGTGCACCGCTACCAAAAGCATTAAAGGTACCAGGTGCTTAAGCCCTATGAAGCAGACTTCACCCTCCCGCACCACCCCCGTTGACCTCCCGGGGTAAAGCATCCTTCTGCTCAGGCCGGCGTACGCCTGCCCGTGCCTTTCCTCTGCCTTTTGTGGGACCGAATTCCCGTTGCCTGCGGTGGGTCGTGCTGCGTGGCTGCAACCCTGGGCCCGGGACTCCAGAGACATGTCCGCAACCTGGCTGTGTGGGAGATGAGTTCCCATTTCTTTTATCCTTGTTACCTCTCTTATAAAAGCTTTAGGCACAGTAAAATCCCTAACTGTAGCAACACTGCCCAAGCACCGCCTGTGCTTCCAGGGCGGCCTCCGCTGCTGGTAATGATATCCGCACCGACAGAAACCTGGCTTCTCAGCCCAGAACCCAAAGTTGTGGGTTTTGTGAAGGGAGAGGCAGCTTAGAAATGAGAAACGAAGCCATCTGACCCCTGAGAGGGGGAAGCTGGGCGGCACAGCGCCTGGGGTCTATCGGGAGGGAGGCAATGCCGTTTCTCTCTTACCACACGAAAATCAACACCAAAGCATCCAATTTTCCTGGATCCCGCAGGAATCCAGTGGCTGGGGAGTCCCATCTTCATGTCCCCATCTGCCAGGACCCGGCGGGGCAGCCAGCAGTCACCATGGAGACAAGTGCCAATGATGGCGTTTTGCCACGGACCGTGGTGACCCCGTTTTCTTTTCAGAGGAGCGACTCTGGGGCCGGCTGCCAGCGGCGTGCAGGGTCCGGCGCAGGGGACTCCACCTCCCCGGGTCTGGAGCAAAGACTTTGGCCCCATTGCCTGGGGGGGCGGGCTGTGATCCCGCTGCCCTTGGCGCTTAGACCTTGCACTGCGAGCAGTTTGCTGGGCTGTAAACAAGCCGCCCTGTTGAAGTCTCTGAAAACCGCAGCGGCTGCCCCAAGGACCACGCGCTCTGCAGGTAAGCTGGTGAAAAACGTGTGTTTCCGTTATTTATTGACCAGCGAGGCAGATACCTCCTTGGCTGGTGCTGCAGGGGCAGCCCGGGGTGAGTTCCAGGGGCTGCAGGTAGAGGAGGCGGCCCTGGTTCCTGCTGGCCGTGGGTTATAAAACCATAGCAGATGGGAAGCAGCGCAGCTCTCCCGCTGCCTTCGGTGCTTCGCCGTCCCGATGACTCATCCCTCCATCCCAGCAAATGTCAGTCCCGCTGCAGGCTGCCTTTCACAGCAGAGATGCTGCGCTTCACCTTGTCCAAATAAAACTATGGGCTAGAATTTACTCATGCTGCCCAGAACCAGGTCTGGCGTGCTGCTGGCATCCTTCCCCCTACCCACACGCGGGCAGCTGAGTGTCCAGGCCGAGGCGATCTGCCCCGTTGTACCCCCAGCACTTCCTTGAATCGGTCCTTGGCCGCTCTCTGCCCGGATGGTGACCACAAGGCTTTTTCCAGGCTACAAGGCAGGAAAGCTCCGTTGAGAGGGAAGAGCCAGGGGACCGAGGGGGGCTGCAGACCCTCTTTGCTGCTGGCGTTTACAAACAGCGGTTCTCCCAGCTGGTGCCGGGAAGGGTTTGGGGTGGTGGCACAGCCGCCCTCACGTGCAGGCAGTCCCGAGGGCAACAGCGGCGCGAGGAGCCCTCCTTGCATTTATCTCATCTGGCATTGCTCCCTGGAAAACACCCGTTGTTTCCCATTTCTTTTATCCATGCCCACCCCTTTTGTCGCCAGCCTGTGCCAGGGGCTGGGGAGAATTAGGAGCGCCCTGGAGTGGGGCTGGGTCGCTGGGCATGGAGGGATCACGCCATCCTGTGGGAGATGGTGAGAGTGGGTGAGTGCACCCACCTCTCCCTGGCTGCTTTCACTCAGCATGCTGGCTGCTGGAAGGGAGAGAGAGGAGGACGCCGATGGCTGTGCCGCTCTGCCCTGCGCTGCTGCAGGGCACGAAGCAGCCATGGCTCTTTCTGCCAGGCAGAGGAGCACGGCCGTGGGCAGCTGAGCCCCAGCTTTAGTGCTCGCCAGCGGCTACAGCGCGCTCAAGGGTAGAGCAAGGTGTGCGAGCAACGGAGAAACATTCCCCTGCCACCGTGGCAAACTACACCCCCCGCATCCGTGATTTCAGTGCCTGGTCAGCGCAGGCAGGTGTTGAAGAGGACTTGGGAGGCTTTACAAGAAATGCACACAAACGCACCAAGAGCAGCTCAGCCCCTTCCCTGCAGCCCAGCTCTGCTCCAGCAGCAGAGCCGAGGCCAGGTCGGGTCCTGCAGGAGCTGATGCCCTCCCTCCCGGGAAGCCCCAGCTTGTCCAAGCAGCTCCCCGGCCCCGGCGCTGCCCTTCAGGCGTTTCCTCCCCTGCAGAGAGCTGGAGCCATGCGTGTGGCCATCATCGGGGCCGGGGTGATCGGCCTCTCCACCGCCCTGTGCATCCACGAGCAGTACCACAGCCTGGTGCCCTCCCTGGAGATGGAGGTCTATGCAGACCGCTACACGCCCCACACCACCAGCGACGGGGCGGCCGGCTTGTGGCAGGCCCCAGCTCGCGACCACCCGGACACG